ATTTGCTGATGATCGAAAGGTCATGCAAAACAGATGTGAGGGCAGCTGGATTTTCCAACTATGCTTCAGCAGACTTAGCAGTGGTGCCTGCCATTACCAAATAATGGAGAGATTTTATTTCAACTGAGTAAAAAAAAAAGAATCTTAGGCAACGTTGTCAGTATAACTGGACATATATGCAGTTTCATCTATGCCGAGGTCTTACTTTTTCCATCTTTCACTCTTCGGAGTCACAGTATGGAACTAACTTTATCGAAATACTGCAAAGTGACAACGAACTGAGCGTCAGCCATCCTAATGGTTTTCCAACATCTTGTAAATAGGCCCTATTAGCCTCCAAGTGTGGAAAAGATTTTAATTTCATTTCCTATAGCCTTCTCATTTGTTTGGTATCACATTTATTTGGTGTTACCTCCATTTCAAATCAACTTACTCTTATTATTCCTGTGATTTTTTTTGAAATTTAGCAAAAGCACAAAGAACAGCAAATGGTGAATTACAAAGAGGACTACCACGTCACAAATACCCTTGAAGAACAGAGGGTCCAATTGCAAACTTCCCAAATATTGACATTTGTGTGGCAAGCAACTGTATAAGTCAGATAGATAAAGCTTTCAAGTTTTACATATTCTATCAAAATAATTCCTAAACCTGTCCTTTACTAACTAAAAATATGGGAATTTTCCCTTATTAATAAGAGGGGCTCTAAGAGTATGTAGATAAAATAATAAATTTTCTCCCTAACCTATTAGAAAATTTAAGTCTCAGGTTTGCCAGTTAATAACTGTATTAGAGAATTATTTTTCTGAGTTTTCATTTTCTCATCTTTAATATGTGGATTAAAAATACCTGACTCTAAGTTTCTCCAATTATTAGATCTTTACTATGTACTAGTTAGTATATCCTAGTATAATTAATGAGTTAATATACCACACAAACTACAAAGACTATACAACAAATATGTTATTATTATAGACCCATTGGGCTTGATCCTTCATAGTTTACTTTATTGTGAAGAGGAAGTTGTTAATTTCTTTGCTATTACTAAATATGAAAATGATCCATTTTTATAGGACAGGGGTTTAGGTTTATACAGAAAAACTTCTATTAACCAAAATCCCAATTAACTAACACAGACCTTAAATAAAGAATGCTTTACTCATTTTAACTGTAGAAAATCATTACAGTATAATAAAATAAACTCATTAAAATCCTTTGATTATATCTTTGTATAGATCCAACTAAATCTCTTAAATATTCAGAACTGTTCAATTATACTCGATGTTTAGAGGCTAGACCTTGAAAGACACAATCAATGCAACAATTATGTTTACTTTGCATATTTAAGGTATATTAATTATCAGAGAATTTTTGACAATAAAAACAAAATTAAAGGAATTATTATTTGACTTTCCAGTTCCCTAAGAATGTACATTGGTGTTCTGGATAATGGAGGTTTCAATATCTACAGTTGAAAATCTATGGGTTCTATTTTGCCAATTACCAATTTATTGGTTTTCAGTTCCAAGTTTACCCGTCACTGCCTGCTCTGTTGATAGTGAACTGGACTCTGTAAGAATTTCTCCTTTACAGTGAGCAGCGTTAAGCTGTGTCAGCCATCAGTCGAGGGAGCTGAAGGAATATTTCAGAAGTAAGGGCCTTCTCTTCCTGGTTCCAGGTGCTGCATTTTGCTTTTTCTTGCTCCAGCTGCGTGGTCCATTCGTGGTGCATGTGTGTGGTGACATCTGGTGGACCTCTGCCTCAGCTGTGCATCTAGAGAGCACCGACCCTTAGCGACTTCACATTCCTGGGCCCGGTGGCTGCCTTGCTGCAGCCCTCTCAATGCAGATACCCTGTATTCCAGGCCTCATACCCACAGCAGCACCTCAACTCCCTGTACACACACACTCACCAGTTTTGGCTTACTTGTATTCTGGAGGGGTCATTCCTTTGTCCCTGGCAACTGGAGACCAGCTCTGGCCTCAGCAACCAGAAAACTTCTCTGAATTCCGTGGACCACAACCATACTTTCTCCAGCAAGGTCTGATCTCCAGCCCAAGGCTACCCTTTTGAGTTCTTTTTATATTTTCATAGTTACTCTCCTATCATAGCTTAATAATTCTTTAAACTTCTGTTAAGTTACTGTGTGATTTCTGTCTCCCAATTGAACCCAGTCTGATCCACCAAGAGTAATCAAATACATTTTTCCCCCTAAGCTCTGATTCACTCTCAACACCTATACTATATTGATACTGTTAAAGATCATCTAGGACATCCTGGATATTCAGGCATAAACAAACTATAAAGAATTCACACTGATGATTTATATCTTTTCTTAAGGCAGAAGTACTGGGTTCAGTGTTGCTTATTAAGTTCATATTTTATTTGAAGCATTGATAATGGTACCAGAAAAATTATTAAGCAGTAGCATAATTTAATCAGTGATAAAAAATGATTAAAATGATTTAGTTTAATTTAAATAAATGAATGTTTCAGTTGATAATGCCAGAATTAAATTAACTTATAGTTCAAAGTTTATACTTGATACATTCCATGGATTTTCCTACTCTCCATTTCATGCAACTAAGGAGGCTTGAGATCATCAGGATTCTCAGGCAAACAGGGATACAAAAAGTTTCTGGGGTCAGATGACATCAATATAGAGTCACCTAAGCAAAGACTATGCAAAAACTAGTATTAGTAGGATAAGTCACTGGAGCTCAATTTACTTTCCTATTTACCAAGGAAATAGTTTGGCATATCAGTGATACACTAAGGGGAAAAAATGTCAAGACACCTCCGAAGATATTATATTCTGCAAAAATACTTTAAACAATGGTATTTTTGAGTAAGTGCTTAGCATAGCAGCAGCCGCGTGTGCTTTACAAGCAGAAGAAAAAAGAAAAAGAAAAAAAGAAAAAAACGAATCTAAGTATATTTGAACTAGAGAGCAAATGTGACAGTTCAGAACATGATGATGAAAAACTAATTTGAAACCTAATTATTAAACAGAAACTTTGTTCTTTGAAACATGGATGCATTAGAGATCGTGTCAATCAATTCATGGAGCTGGCACAGAAGTCATTTTCCTTGGGAACCATATTCGCCTTGAGAGAAATTGAAAAATTATACTCTCTGTGAATTCTAGATTGTTTTATTTTTTTCCCCCGAGGCCAGTGATCAGTGGTTTTCTGACACAGAAATGTTTTATTCTTCTACAATAAGCAATGGCTCCAAGCTTTATTGTATGTGATTACATGCAATTCCAAACACAGGGAAAAATTGCCTTCTTGGCAAACTTTCATTTATTAGGGCTCCTCCAGTGCTCTGTCATTAGTGATAATCACTAAACACACCTTGCTTTCCCCCAACTCTGTGTTCAAGGTGTGGAAGCCACACCTTTCTTTTTAATCATTGATGCAATCTTGCCACCTTCTCAGATAGCTTCTAAATCATGGACTAAAGAGTAAAAGTTCAGAAACGTAATAGCACAGACAAATGATTTGTTCTAAATTCTTGTCACAAAACAAACAGTTTAGTAAATCAGACACTCGCCACATTCAAAACACTATGTGTATCTCCTGAGTATGATAAATACATCGCCTATTTCTGATTTTTGCAAGGGAAGGGGTTTTTTCCACAAACTTTTGGGCTTGGTGCTTCCTGAGTTAAAGGGTCTCATTCATAAGTACAACACAAAACTGTATCAGTCTGAGATTCCTGTTGGGTAGCCATGTGTCCTAACCCCTTTCCTCTTTTAAATTTTAAATACTGCAAAGGAACCATTTTCCCTGTGAGGCTCCCACACTTGGGATGAAACCTTCTCTGCGGAATTTTGGCACCCTATTAATTAGTGGTTATGAGTGGGAGCTGCTCTCTCTCAGCAACTCCTATTCTGCCATCAGTCAAGTGTGATTCTGCAATAAATTCCCACGAAGCAAACTATTTCTGGTAATTCTCCCTAATTAACACCAGGCCTGCTAATAATACATCAGTACCTATGTGTTTCTGATATAATCAAGATCTTGTCTGAGACTACTCAAAAAGGGAAACCGCCAACCTAAATTAAGCTTTTGTGGGCAAAATGGATTTTACATGTAGTTCTGTAAGAAAACCTTTGATAATCTTATATTGGGGACATTTTGACCAGAAAACATTGAACGACTGGGAGGCTTGTTCTGGTTTGAGCACTGAATGGGGATTTATTGTGAACACACACTGTTGAGTCTTAAGCCTATAAATCTTGTACTGGATTACTGTTTCTTAACGAAGAAATGACAGATCTCTTATTTTGTCGGTGCATTTTAATGTGCAATGACGTGATTGATAGAAACCAAACAGCAGCTATTAAAATGTCAGATGTAGACTTGATGCCCTTATAAGTTTGGCTTCTGGAGTTTAATATACTGTGAGCAAATAGACTTGAATTTGTCTTTTATTCCCAATATACAGCCTGCAACAGAAACATTACTCTTAACTTTATACAGTTGGAAAAAAAATCTTATTCAAACCTATAAACAAACGAGGAATAGGTGAGCCTACCTAGTTATAGAATAAAGTTAGCTAATGAGATCGGACGTGTTATGCATGAAGTAACGGACCCAGGTCAATGAAAAATGTGAAAATATAGATGATGACTTAAGTCGTTTGAATACGATATATAATACAATATAACGCTTGATACAACAGGATACTCCTGCCATAAATAATTTCAATAATGAAAATTTTTAAAAGACAATAGAGGTTATTCATCAATTCACAAACATTTGTATGTACACTATATGCGGAGAATAAAGCTTTAAATAAAGGATTAAAGTAGAATAAATGTGACCATATTTCCAAATGTTTTATTTCTGGACATTCTGATAGGCAAATCAAAGATAAGAAAGAGATTCTCCTGAGAATTAATACACCTCTTCCTGTTCTGTGAACTCAGTTTTTTCCCACGATAACTTACTAGAAACCACTTGCCACCCCAAAAGAAAAACCAAGAGAGCTTGTCTACATCACTGCAGCCATTTATTTATTATGTGCTCATTAAGGTATTACTATACTGATTACACTTCTCACATGGTTTTTAATTAGAAAATACATCCAAAAGCAAAAGCAAAACAGCATAGACGTATATAAAATTAAAAACGTAAAGAAACAGAAAGTAGAGATTAATAGATAAGGCAAATGATACATTGAGAATTCAAACCCAATACCTTAAAACATTAGGGGATGAAGAGTGACAAACTGAAGCCACGTTAGATCTGTGTGAAATTATTCAGTATGTTTTCCCTTCCCTATGTCTGAAAAGCCTCTCCTTTGAATCATCACAAAAATGTTAACATACTACTAGATTCGGAGGCCGAGGAATTATTTTCTATAAAAGTGGTCCTAATATAGTACCCCTTGAAAATGGTATCATTAACACATTTTGTCGTAGGTAATTTTTAAACATAATGCTGCACTAATAATTTGAAGATTAAAACTATTTGTTTGTCTTAATACTGACCAGACAATTAAGTTTTAGTTTTAGATTCTTAATGTAACCTGAATCAATAGAAATGTGTAAGCTACTATAAACATAAGCACAGAAGACCATTTTTTGGCTGCTACTATGGCGGGCAACGTTCTGTCCTTGTAAGTCTAGAGAAATTTGAACCTATCACTAGCATTTTGAAACAGAGAAATCCAAATAAGGGATGTTTTAAAGTTATGTACTATGATTTTAATCTATATTATACTAAGTACAGCATTTCAAAATATACATCTAAAGAGACTAAAAGTAAATGCTCTACAGTGAAGACGTAATAATTTAAAAAATGCTACTGACTCGGAATATTTATAATCAGAAAAATAAATATTCAGGGAGCTCGCCAGAAGAATAAAGTGCTCTGCCAGTTATTAAAAGATTAATGCTGGTATGTTAAATATGGCATTCCCCACTGGAAAATAGAGATTCTTCTGGGTTATGATCAATATTTATTTCACAGGATTAACTGTTTTAGTTATAGATATAAAGCTCTGTCACAGAAGAGAAGGACAAAGCACAAAGACAAAATGATAAATTAGGATGTAATGTTACCTTTTTCGAGATAAAATTTAGAGAAATGCAACATTATGCTCCATGAATAATATGTAGAAAGAAAAGTCTATAAAAATGATATTGTTAATATAACTTTATAAGAAACCCAGGTCAAATAAAATTCTTTGAAGGAACTACCACTGACTTACCAAATACAATTTTTGTATATAAAATCCATAAATGCAAAACTAAATAACAAAAAAAACTTCTACCACATCAAAACAAAACCACCAACTTATTTTATGCTGTGTGAAGCAAAAGGCTGACATCAAGATATGTGACAAGGCACATTAGCCAGCATGTCTTCTATAGGTAGTTTCAGCAGCAATGAAAAATAATGCATGATTCAGTTACAGCACTTAAAAAACAAAAAAAACAAAAAAACTTCCTGCCTCCCTGCAAGATGCAAGGTGAGGAGGTGGTTTGGGGTTACTATAAGTGAAGTATTCAGTTTGCCACTTTGTGTCATCCTTCTCATTCTTTTATCCCCAGTTAATTATTATCTGTATATAATTTAAATCTGCTAGACCATATATTAACAACTTTCAGGACAGATGCCTTGAAAAGTTCTTAGGGAGGTTAAACAAATATTGTAGCTTAAAACCTCCCTCTATAACAAACATGTACACAATGGAAGTGAAGTAATTAGTGAGTGATGATGGGGCAGGAAAGACTTCGGGTTCAGCCTCAACTTTAAAAGCATCTTGCTCCAAATGAATTTAAATTATAACTTAGTGGGATCATGGGCTTTCATCATATCTGAAAACAAAGAGAAAAACTATCAAATGCCATAATTGCTTTTCTCACTGGGCAAATATCAATAGGATCTACAATTTTACCACAATTGTTTCTCTGTCTTCATGTGGTATCCACATAATTTTCCCCAAATGAAGAAAACAAATAATGGGCTAGTCTGAGTAATTAATCATATGCCCTCCTATACTACCAAACCTCTGTGAATAAAAGTTTCCAAACTTCATGATCACCTTTAGAAGTGGTTCATTTATTACTGAAAGAGAATGATCAAAAGAAAAAAACAATCAAGATTTTATCACATCCCCAAGCCAATCTTTTATTTTTCTAATGTAGAATTAAAGAAAAAAATACTCTGCAAAGAGAGTTCTCAAACCTTCACTTGTCAGTAGTACAACTCTGAAACCGATTCATGATCTGAATTGGGGAGGAGAATATTTTGGATACAACCACATTCTTTCCTACTTATTCTCTTTATATAGAGAGAAAACTGTTACAGTCCAAAGTTATCCAATTAGCTCTTTACCTCAGCATGAAGGAGCGGGGGTAAAAAGAGTTTGACTAATATAGGCGATAAAACACACACAATGAATAGGAATGGCCATATTTTAATAAAAGGCAAAAATTTGAGATTTATAAGCCATATGGTAGGTAGCTTTTGAAAGGGATGAAGAAAAATATAGCATCTCTTATTGGCATGATGCATTTTGATGAAAAATCTCATTGATCTTTCCTACTGGAATGATCGATTGTAAGACAAAAAAAATGTACACAGTTTGTAAAAATTGACACCTACTGATAAAATGCTCTGTTTAAACTCCTATTTACTGTTTTAAAGATAAACATTATTCTTAAAAAAAATACAATGTTTCATTTAATGATAAAAGTATAAGGCACTTTCATTGCCTTTTACAGATTTACTCATAACAAGGAAAGAAACCATAATTATTTCAGCATAGAGGTTTGAGATTTTCTAAAATTTAATTCTTTACTAATTTATTCTAAGATGAATTTAATAGTCAACCAGGAAATTGATTTTTATGAAAGTTATTTTATGGGCAGAAAATACAGGGAAAAAAGTAATAATAAATGCCAAACTGTCTCTTTACGTTATGTAGCCAAATATTTCTTCAAAGACTCGGTTTTTAAAGCTGGAATTTATCCCTTCAGGGCCACTATTATTTTTCAAACTCCATATAAATATTAAATCTAAAAATTAATTGGTAATTTTAATTCTCCTCTTTCTTTTCAAATTTCTTCTCTTCTCTTGAACTGTTGACTTTCAAAAATTCACAGCATGAGCATGTTTCTTGCAAAGAGGCTTGTCCTTCTTGGAGAAAAAGGTCTGACCTTCCAAACTTTCACAACATACCTGAAAAAGAAAGCGTTGTATAAGAAAATATCGTTATTTTATCAAGTATGTAAGGAGGGAAAACTGAATTTTAACCCAATGGATAACTGACAAAGCACTCTAGTTGGTTGTGTTAGATACGCTGACTGACATTTCATAATTACTACATTTCATGTAATCTTCCAAAGGCAATGAAGAATGACTTTTTCCTGGAATGCATTCTAATTTATTTAAATCACTGACAATTATTTATCTTTATTGGCAGTTAAGCACTTAGCCCTAACAAAAAATTAACACATAAAGAAGTCACATTAAATATAGTTTCTCTTCCCAAATTCTAATCAATGCTTTTAATCTGTGTCCTGTTGCAGAGAACCAAAGCATTCAATAAGAAAGTTCAACACAACTGCTTTGCCAAACATTTCCAAGCCTCCAAATACCCAGGCACAGAGTACCTGAGCATTTTTCCTAATGCATTTCTCTGTTTCTTGAAGTGAAACTCTGGTCAACATCTGGCTACTGGATAATTAGACAGTCAGTTAACTAATCACATTTACGTCATCTGGTCTTTCCTATTGCCTTTGTTCATTACAATGTTCGTGAGCAGCTCTACCAGAGAACAGAAGAAGGCTAATCTGCTAAAGGTTTTTTTTTTTTTTTTTAATATAGATTTTCTGAACTCTAAGAGCTGGATGAGGTAAACTAGACAGGGCTTAATGGTAACATTTCGAAAAATCATTCGACTTCAATTAATATGACTTTTCTCCCTTCATACAATGGGTATTGAAAACTATTAGATATATTGAACCTAATTTAAAAAAAAAATTAAACATCTTAACAGAGTACCTTTACAGAATATTTACTTTCTAAATTAAAAAGTGTATATATATCTTAGGTTAATGTTAATCTCTGAATCTATGCTCATCAAAAATAAAATTAAAAATATTAAATTCTCAAATGCAATAAATATATTACTACATGTTTATTATAGTCTCAAAAATAAAATAATATTCACAGACTATTGTTAAGGAAGGAAACAAATCAACATATAGTTTATGTCCACTGTTAATTCAATAATAGATTTTTATAATAATTTATTTCTATTTTAAGTAACTTTGTTTCCAATAATCACTCAAATGCTACAATAAAAGTTATTTTTTAAAAAAGTAAAGGCCTCTTACTGTTTTAATAAATGTAGAGCTTCTCCTTATAAACAAAAATGTATTAAAAATAGGATTGTCTCTAAAGAAGCAAGCATCTTATTGTGCCAAATAATATTTTGGTGCGAAAAATTATAATAAACAACTTTCAAAATCGCTGTAAAAATATTTTTAGATTTGAAGGACTAAAAGATACAAGAACTATTATTTTCATTTAGGGCTTAGGCTAGAATTGGCCACATGCGCTCCTTTAATTCAGAAATAAATACTTACTGAGCATACGAAGCAAGTGTCATGCCAGGTATAGCCCAGAGCCTCCAGAAACATGTCGCCAGCTTCTATGGGAAATTCACATCCACGGCATATAGTACCAAAGAGGGCATAATAATCTGTATTGTGGACGGGAGACATAATTTTAACATGACAAAGCTTTAGAATGATAAAGTTACTAAAATTGGAAAATTTTCAGATGGCATAGTATTTGGCTTGAGATATATGTAAAGCGTTGTTTCTCATTATCCTTGGTAAATGTTATTTACACAGTTTAACATCCTTTGTTATATTTTTCCATGCAACATTTTTCATTTCCGACTACTTTGATGAATAAAATATGAATAAAAAAGAACACACAAGTTATCAACTGACATGACTGTTTCAATAAAATATAAAAGAACTTCCAATAACAAGCAACAATAAGACAATGAACTTAAATCAAGAAGAAGTACCTGGTATTAGCAAAATTTACAGCATATCTGACTAACGTAAGAAAGAAAAAAATGCCATAGGAAACTTCCGTAAATAAGTGCCATGACTGAGTTTTCTCCCTGGACAACCATATTAGCCACTATTTCTTTTGCTGTATTTTCCTTTCAATTTTATGACTTTATATTCAAAATCATTAGCCAGAGAACACCATTTATTTGACACAGATTGTAGTTATAAACTACTAATAGGATTTCCTTGGGAAGAAAGCGGTTCGATCAGATGTTCCTTTATTATTACTAAATTAGAATTTAACAGCATTTTAATTTTCTGTTATGCAGTTATTCTCGCTACTCATGTTTACTCATGCTGAAAATTTCTAAGAAAAGTAAATCAAGTAGCAAAAGACAGCCTACTTTCTCCTTCAGCCCAAGTTGGATTGAAAATGTCAGAGGCCATGAAGGAAAGATAATAGTGATGCCATATAAAATAACCGGGGGAGATGTATAACACTACATTACACAGAGGAGTTAGGTAGGAAAGGCCTCTATGAGGAGGTAATAGTTGTGCTGAGACTTGAAAGAGAAAGGTGGAGTCACTACAGAAAAGCTGGGGAAGAACATTCCACCTAGGAGAAATAGCAAGTACAAAAGCCTTAAGGCAGGAACAATCTTAGCATGTTTAGAAACAGCAAAAGGGGCTGGGTATGGCTAGAATCCAGGTGGTAGAGATAAGGTCCTAGTAAGGAGTACAGTTTTTGCTGAAGAGGAAGCCATGAAGGGTATCAAGCACAATCTGATTCACATTTAAACAAATATTACCATAACTGCTTTTAAAGGGCTGGGGAAAAGATTTACCATCTAGTTGGTGATTATTATGTCCAGGCAGAGGGTGAAAGTGAGTGGATTTAGTGGTGACAGCTGAGGTTAGAGGTTCTGAGATAGCAGAAAGTGAGCCATTTATTGAAATGGGGAAGACTGGGTTAAGAATAAGTCTGGAAAGTTAAAGAAAAAGAACAAAAATAGAGCAAGGTGATCAGAAGTGACAGTTAAATAAGTCTTCCATAATGTGTCTCCCTTCTGTAAACAATTTTTGGGTTTTAAAAATGACCACTTAGACTGCATTAAATATGATATTAAGGCTAATTGTATACGTGTTTTGACTAGAGAGGGACTGTGCCAGTTAGTCAAACGTCTTACAAAACTTTTAAAACAAGCAAATAGCTCTTTCTTCAGAAGAATTAAGTGTAATTACAAAACGTGAAATATTCTGGTTGAATGAGGGCAAGCAGCTTGCAGCTAAACTGTCCCAAAACGGCCCATAGGGTAGTTCACTGAATTTCCACAGGACTTACTGGGGGACAGTCTAGCACAGTTCTAGACTGGTCCTAACGAGCTAAAAAAAAAAAAAAAAAAAAAAAAGGTGAAAATAAAACAGTACTGAGTGGGCAAAGAAGGGTTCAGTGATGTTGACCAGACTCCAGCTAGAAGCGGACTGCTCCTTTAACATGACTACTGTAGAATATTCCCTTCTTTCAGCACCACAGTGTGAATTTCAAGGGAGAACCATAATAAAACTCTGTAGTGGAAATGCAGAATAGTGAGTGAAGGCAGGATAAAGGACAAATATTTTCTGAAAAATGTATGTGTTTTATTAATATCTAGGTAAGGGTAATAATAGTAAATAAATGTTATGGAAGTTCACTTACAGACTTTGGGAAGGAAAAGGAAGTGTCCAGAATTCAGGTAATAAGACAAATTTAGCAGATTGGTCCTCAGAGTGTAGTTTATTAAAAATAATTTTACCAAGGGGACAATCTAAGCTAGGATTACCCTGTCATTCAGTAAAAGTAACAAAGGATTTCCAATTTACCTTAAAGAGCAATTGCCTTAAAGAGCAAATCAGTGTCATACTCAAAAGTTGAACATTTATCAAGTTTATAACCATTCAAAATCCACTTACTAAAGTGTAAGAGGTGTCTTTAAGCTCCACAATTTGACAGAATTTATATCCACAAATTACTGGGGATTCAAGCTAAATATTTTTCTACCATTTTATGCTTACATCTCAATTAAGTTGAAAATATGTTTTGACAAACATTAAAAATTTACAGTTTTTTTTTGCTATACATTTGAGTAACATCAAATGTTCTTAAAATAATTAGGAAAACTATTTTGCCTAACAGTTCCTTTTGACTTTACAGCAATGTAAGAGTTCATATTTTATCTTCATTCAAAACTCAAAAAACTAGTGACTTTAGGATCTTACCCGTCTCACAATAGGGTTCACCATCCTCCAAGTGAAAAACATTATTACGAATGGGTTTTCCACAGGCCACACACACAAAACAGGAAACATGCCAAGTTTGTTTCAAAGCATTGATGACTTCCTGTTATAGAAAGGTAATTGTATATAAAAAAAGATGATAATACACAAATGCTCAACTAATATGGCCCTTTTAAACTAACCCAAAGTAGACAGACATACTTTGTCTGTGCCTTGAGCTTTTTATCTAACAAGAGATACTTAAAGACAGACTCACAAATCATCTAAACTGATACACTACATAACACCTGTATTTTTCACAAATATGTATCAATAAACTTATTTAAAGAATGATTACTGAGTTAAACATTATACATGCAATGAATAAAAGTAAGCATTTCATAAGTTTGCTACTATACCTTCTGCTTTCTCTCAAAGGGTGTCAGGAAACATTAACTTATAAAGGTTTCAGAGTATTATCTTGAAAATGTCACGGAGGAAGGGCAAACATTTAAAAACTAAAACAAACCTATACTTTGGTGCATTATGGAAGCAATAACTTAATCAGTATAATCCAATCAATTTAACACATGTTTAGGATTCTGGAAATCAGCTGTGACTCTACTAAGTACACACTCAAATGAGTGTCTAAAATTTGAACCACAAAGCATGGATTCTAGTCAACAATGGACCTACAGTTAAAAATACCAAGTATCAAAAACTTGGGCCAGATTTTGATTAGTAAAAGACATTTTGGGAAGTTGGTTTTGAAAGAAATCATTTCTTCAGACTGAGAGAAAGAGATGGAGCCATTAAAAATCATCGTTGAGAAATAGTTAATAACATGGAAATTTCTTCTTTCCATAATATTTATCACAAAAAAAGAGGATGTTATACATAAAGCATGGTTATAATTTTGTAAATAAATGATTTATAAGGAGCAAATGAGAAGAAAATCCATCCTAAGGTTAATAGAAATTAATCTGGGATTGGCAAATATACAGGTTATTTTCATTTTATTGTTTACATTTTTTATATTTTCTAATTGTTGTAGAGTGAAATATTTTCTTTTATAATAAAAAATACTGTCAAACTAAAAAAATGACAGAATAAATTCTTAGCCATAGAAAATGCCATAGTTCACTACTGAAGGACAATGGGAAGAAATGTCAGTTAAGATCCAAAAAAAATCACCATGAACATGTAAAACAAAGGTACATTGAACCAAATCATTTCCCAAGGCTTCCAGCATATACTTCCTTTTCTATACTTGAAACACACTATTCCTTCTTTAATAGGCAATCAATCAACTAAAACACAACCCAGAGAATCTGTCCTTTTAGCAAAGATCTGGTCCATCTCTGAAGCAAGGAGTATAAGATTTCCATTTCCTACAACCTCATTTGATTCTAAGACTCTTACTTGATTTTGTTCTACTAATTATTCTAGAACCCACAGAATACATTTACTAAAATATTATTTATATACTCTACTTTTTATTTGTCATTTGGGAAGGTACAGCCTGAATTATTCTGTTCTTTTGTTCCCAACATGTTGTACAAATTAATAATATAGAAATATTTCATGAGGTGTATTTATAATTTTTAAGTGTCCTCAAAGTTTTAGACATATTTAAAGATATAGCATAAAATTAAGACTACTCAATAATTCATGTTAACTTTTCTCTTAATTGATTTGAATTTAGAGTTTCATTATTATATTTTCGTACTGAGAATATTAGAATTCAGCAATGCCATTTCCAAATTCTGTATGAGTTGTATGAATTTCATATGAGATCAGGCACCGTGGCTGCTTCTATGTAAAATTCCAACTCCTGGTCACCCAAAGAAAATGTCTGACCCTAACTCTGTAATTGCAAACTGGGTATTCCGGAGTAGGAAATTCATTCATTCATTATTATTTATTATATATCTGACTCCTAAATTACTCCCTTTTTACAAAAATGTTTTTAAAACGTGGTTTTATTATTTGTCTATACATGTATACTCTCATAAAACTGAGGTTATATTTTTAAACATCATATGCATTCAAGAAAAATATATTTATAAGCCTCATGTTTTATATACTTCATGAGATCTGTGCCCTGTGCTTGAACCTTGACAAATAGGGAAATGCAGCTCTTATAAAAGCTATGGAATTTAATTTAAAACAGTTAAGGTGTCAGTTTTGAGAACTTTGATGTGTGTGGTCCTGTGCGACCTCTTCGTTCCTGAGCAAACAGGGTCCTGTTGAGGTAGCACACCCACAGTAAATTATTTTTCCTGCACAGTGGCTAGACTTTCACCAGACAAACCAGCACTCAGTAAGACAAAACCAAAGACAACTTAACCCCTTGAGTCTGATCCACAGAGGTCTATTTAGTTTTGCTTTACAATAATAAACAGTGATGAAAGCAGGGAGAGGATATCAAGGAGAAAGAAAATAAAAAGTCAAAGTGACAGATTTTGTAACAAAAATTATTCTGCTTCAACATTCATTCAGAATAATAACATTTCTAATACTTACTCCAAGGATCTTCCTTTGGCATCGACCGCATTCAGGAGCAAAGAATTTCTCATAGCAGAGCTCACAATACAGGGCCCCCTTTTCCTCCACAAATCCAATGTAGGCCATTGTATTTTTGCAGTGAGCACAGTTGAATTCTTCTGGGTGCCAAGATTTCCCCAGTGCCACTAGAAATGGTCCCCTGCCAGAAGCAAAGAGATCAAGTTGGCTCAAGAATAAAAGTTTCTGAAGTTTGCCTGGATAGAACCTCTTTTATATAACGTCGAAACAATTAAAAACTTGCCTAATTATCCTTCTCAAGGACTGAACACATGGATGCTGTAAATTTCCAAAGAAACTCTGTGTATTTATATGAAAAGGGGTTGGGGTGGGGTGGGGGGTGAGTAAGAGCACTGAAAGGCTATATCCCTTCCTTTTTTCTGTTTTCAAGAGATTTGGTAGTTATGTTTTTTAAGTTGCAACAAGTGAGTCTGTCATGATTATGATTGAGAATGAGGACAACTGTGACAGAAAATAAAAACGGCCAGAAAAAAAATATGGTTTAGGCAGAGATGAGAGTATGACATTCCTAAAAAATAAACAAAAGAAAAAAAAATCTCAATTTGGTAATGTCAGAGACTTAAAAATAATAACTATTACCTGAGAAAACATTCTAGTCAATTTCTTTCGCACATATTTGTTTCATATATTTATTTCTCAACTTTATTAAAACGCATCAAATTCTCATCCTCCAAAATGACTACAGAAACTGTAAACTGGATATTAGAGATTGTTTGAAGCTACTTAGAAAGGTTTTATTTAATTCAAACATGACTTATTTTAACACACATTTGTATCAAGGTAACGAACATTTATAAAGAGATTTTTCCCCCCATTAAATACCGTACAGTCATGAACTGATTAAGATGGGTTTGGTTTGCTTGACAGGAATCCATTATGAAGCCTTATCTAGTCATGAAGGCTGCAGAGATTAACCATTCTAGCCTCTGCAACATAGTTTTTAGTAGCTACATCACACTCATTTTTATTCACAGAGTGGCTTTACCTCCAAGGCACTTTTACACTTATCTAATTTGTCCATGCAACATTCCTGTGAGATAGACCAGGGCAGTTATTACAAATTCAGTTTAACAGATGGAAAAGCTGAGATACAGAATGTTCACAAGATATGACAAATGTCATAAAATCACTGATTGAGTCAAGGCCAGAAGCTGAATTTCCTGATTTCTAGTATACTGTTCTAGTCAATTGATATTCTGTCGTTGATCTCATTACCACCAATTATCATCACTGAGCTACTACAGGATAATTGTTATTAAGTGTCAGATACCTGACTTCCAGGCAGGTTATTAATAGAAAACATCACAGTAATAAGCATCATAAGTCGAAGCAATTTTTAGCCTTTGATAATAATATAAACCTTGATATTCGGTAACTATCTCCCACTGGGAAAGTCTTTGCAAATACACTGATGTTTACTCAGAAGCAGCACCTAATTCTGCTAGAGTCAAGAAAGAAGAAAGGCTCTTGATGAATGATTAAAATGGGTTCTGTGGTAAGAGGGTGTTTTCTAGCCCCACTTTTTGTTGCCTTGTGTCTTATTAATAATACTTAATTGTATATAAGCTAGTGCAGGCAGCTCTCTTAGCATTTGCGACAAGTAGTTCATTATTATTATTTTTAAACTTTAGGGTACTATAGTTTTGTTATCACTAAAAAGGAATGCCTTTGTTAACTAAGTCCTACTGGGGGAGAAAAGGGGCTACAAATCACCTCTGCAACCAAATATGTTACTTTGGGCAGGCTGTCCCTCAATTTGTAACTGGTTTATAAGTAACAGTCCTACTCAACAAGTTCCTTTATTTCATTTTTTCAATATGTATTTGACAAATAGTTTTCCTTCAATGATAAACCAAGGAGTCACAATGCTCAAAACTAGACAGTTTTGAGTGCTCTGAGCTTTTCCCCAGGTGGATATCTGGTTATATATGCTTTAAAATCTGCCAGGCTAAATTTACTGTGACCATAACATAAGAGTATGGTAGAACTTGGGGGTTTTATGCTACCATTGGCCTGGACATTAAAGTAGTTCGAAAGAACTTACTAGGGTGAGATTTTTTTGTTAGGGCACATCTTCAGCTCACCCATAAACCTGGATGGTCCCTTCATATAATGATATTATCGAGGTTAATATCCTTAGGCTCCTCAGTTTGTAAAAGAGGTCAGTCAACCTCAAACTCCACATTGCGTTAGAGTGTTAAGTGCTGGTATGCACTTGGAATAAAGAGCTTTACTCCCGGAACATGTCTATCAGTGCTACCAAATAGTCGACAAAGTGAATCTGAGGGGAAAAAAGGCATTTAAGAACAACTGATTGAGGATCCATTTTCTAGATTTCCTAAAATATATGTTGAGATCAACTCAGACCATCAGAGAACCGGAAATCAGGGCCTGACCCATTCCCCAGATTCCTGAAATGACCAGTGTTGTGTGTGATACCATCAGTCTGCAGTAACACTTGTTACAGGAAATAGCTCTCTGAAATCCACCTTTGTTCTTCCTACAAGATGCTGTTGAAAGCGTTGTTAGATCACACGGCCATTATCATATGGACTCCTTGAAAAAATTCCTTTCAGATTTTTTGAACAAGAACAGTTTTGGTCTTCTAAGCAATAGATTTATTTTTTTATCTGTCTAGTTAATTTACAAAATTAACTTCCTTTTCTTGTTGACTGCTCGAAGGCTTAAAACCAAATTTAGTCTAACCATAGGCAAGTATGTATACTATTGTTTTAGGCTTTGTCTAGTCTCAATGACAAATTTGTCCAGTGTTCACTTTTAATAGTCCCATTCAAGATTTTCTTTTGCTCCTTTTTGTAATTTAGAAAGTTTTCTTATATTTCTTGTATTGTTAAAAGTCTCTTTGAAAGCTTTTTGGAATAGAGTCCACTACCAAAAAATAAATAATATTCTCTATCAAAAGGGTACTTTTGCAGAAATTTCCATAGTTTCTTTATCAAATTTGAATAATGAAAAATCTTAACCACAATAAAGAAGCATCCTCTGCACCTTTAAAAAGTGAGCTGAAAATGACCCTTGCTCCTGCCAGACCTCCTTTCTTAAACAAACACGCTTAGCGCAGATACTGGCCTAACCTGATACTCCTTGACTGTGCTGAAAGAGCATCTTTCTCTATCAATGCCCTTGAAATTATGTACAGATTAAACAATAAAATCTTTTACACATAACAAAGTACTCTCTTCTCTGTATCAGCAGTGACTAATTTAACAAATTAATTAACATAGGATTAACAATGAAGAAATTTCTCTTGTTCCAGGTAGGATTGGGTTTCCGTTTGTAAACTGGAACAACAAGCTTGGATAACTACAAAGTGGAATTAAGTGTATTCAGCTACCTCATAGTAGTCCACACCTTGCGTGCCCTTACTAAATACTTGTTGACTGAAAAATGAAGGGAGGGGAGAGAGTTAGAGCATTGATTGGCTGTGAGAAGGGAATTATGGCACAAAACTTTTCATCCTATTTATCTTCTGTGAGACTTATGCCAAAAAGGAAAGAAAAAAAAATAAGAGAGACAGGGAAGGATGCTAAGGTTAAAGTTCAGAGGAAAAGAAAAAGCTTACAAATAGGAAAGGATTAGCAAATTTCCACAGGCACAATCTAACAAGGACTTAACTTCAAAATCAAATGCTTACTTCTTGCTCTTCTTTGTTATTTAACTCTCACAACAACTCTCAGTGACAGACATTAACGCTATAAATAGATGAAGAAAACATAGAGGAAATTAGCCAAGTTTTTAAGATCATGAGGGATGGTGAACTGTAAACCTGGAATCTTCTTCCAAGTCCCAGCCACTATAGATTAAAATTTTTATTTGACAAAACCTTACCACATTAATAGACGTTAAAAACAACAAAAGTTAAAAAAATCAAAAAAGTTAATCAATAAACGTGAAAAACAAGGCCACATTAAAAAAAAACTTACATGTTCAATAATAAATATGGAATCTGATATTCTACTTAACTAGATATAATAAACAATAAAAATGTATAAGCCAGTTTTATATCATGCTCAATTTTAAGCGAGAGCCTAGCATGAGCAGTCTTAAGAACAACACAGCTAGAAGGAGAGAATGAAATAGAAAAGATTATTGGGAGAAACCGCAAAACACAGGCACAACACACAGTCACAAATAATACACAAAGACACATGAGGGAAGAGAAGAGAGCAAAAGAGAATGAAACACAGTGACTATCTTTCAAGATTTGCAATACCTCGAATTAGAAATATTAATGATCCTTCCTAAAATTTAAAAATAACATATTTTTGACACCCTTAATTCTTCATTTCCAGTGGATTATGCCCAAACTTTCGTATTTGGAACATTAAAAATATACAGTTCTTCTTTCATTGATCTTCTTTAATCTTTAATTCATAGCCACCTAAAATATTGCATTTAAAAGGCTGTAAGGCCAACTACAGCTTTTAATTTTAAAGACATAAAGGACATGCTCCTTAAGAATAAATGCACAGGTAAAATGAGCCATAACATAATAGTAAATAAAAAGAATAACTTCTAAAAAAGGCTATAACAATGACAATTTTTTAAAAAGTGTACTGGAGACGGTTATAGTCTATATACTGAGGTTATTATAAAATCAGAAAAGCAGGAGAAATGTGATTGATTCTATATATTAAGACAAGTAGGATATAATTTCAACTTGGCAAGACTAATATCATACATTCTTCCAAATATTTTTAAATAGTTCATTCATCGACTGAATATTTACTAAATGAAATGATAAGTGCTAGGCACTGTTCTAGGATCAGAGACTATAGCAAGAAACAAAGCCAGAAAAAAACCCTGCTTGCATGAACTTACATACTAGTATGGGGGAAAAAGACGACAAAAAAGATAAATGAAATACATGGTATGTTAGATTTTAAATGCTGAGGAGAAAAATGAAGCAGGGAGGGGAGACAGGGAGACTGTGTGTGTCTGTCTGTGTGTGTGTGGTGGGGGCGGGGGAGTGGGGAGTGGGAGAATTTAAATAGGGTGACCAGGAATACCCTGCTATTTGAGTAAAGACCTCAAGGAAGAGAAGGTAAGCCATGCAAATATCCAGGAGAAGAGAATCTAGGCAAAGAAAACAGCAATTCACTACAGTAAACCTCAACGCTCAGTCTATGTCTTGCTCATAAATCTTGGTCTGTGTATTTGGTTGTTTCCTTAAATTCAGGGGCTACCACATTAAGCCAAGAAATCTTTTATTTTCAAGAAAAGCTTACCCAGAAGGGAAAAGAAACAAAATCTACTCGTAAAAGAGTACGCAGAAATTGAAATGGGTGGTGAGACAGACAAAATACTGTTGGCCTCTCCTTGGGGTAACTGATATGGCTCTCCTCAGGAGAAAAGTAGGAAAATCACTGAGCAAGAAATAATTTGGCAATGTTAAAATTCTCTCTCTGGAATAAACAATGGGTTGACTGAGTGTGACCATTCTGGTGCTGTACTGCAGGCAAATATAAAACAATAGTGGCTATTTTTTTTAAAAAAAACATTCTATATCTAAGAAGTTCAAGCACCATCAACCCCTTGCTTCTTTCACAAAAATGCTAAGCTAAATATGAATGGTCCATTTAACCCCATGTAATACAAATGGTCAATAGGTTAATGCCACTAGATGTAACAGTCAAGAAATAAGCTAGAGGTTTCATAAACCCTTTCTACCAGGGAAACTAAAATGTGGTTTTGGCTACCTCAGTCTGATTTTCTGTTTCCCTATTATATCAGCACCCCAACAGTCGATCTATTCATGAATGGAAAAGTGGAAGCAATGTATTATACTAAATTATACTGTGGAAAATAAACAATATAAATTATAAAACAACCTTAAACTTTTCAGAGTTTGCCAGGTTGCAATATTCTATATTGAAAGTATCAAGCTGCAACTGCTGCTTGTTTTTAAAACAGGTGTCCAAGAGAATGTCACCTGATCTAATGCCTCCTTGCTTTGGTAAGTGATACTGAACCGAGGCCAAGAACTAGAATAATGCTTTGACTAGGTCTCTGAACAGACCACAATCTATTCAAGCTGCTTTAGCATTTGAGCACCAAGCAAATATGCTATGTTAATTACTGTCATAAGATATTGACATGAACTAATCCCTGTTCTTATTAACTTCTCTAGTAAATGAAGCTTTAATGCCTAACCAATAACAAGTGCTGGGATAATCCAGAGCAACGTAAAATTTAATAGATGAGGAAGCAATAAGTGATGGCCATTCGTTTTATTAACATAATATATATTTACTTCACATGGCAAGAAGGTTGTGCATTAAAATTACATCCTGGTCTAACATTAAAACTGAAACCAAGGCAGTAGGAATAGGGAATGTATTTTCTATTTTGATCTTCATATTTTCTCCATACTAAGTTTTTCAGATGTGCTAGTAGTGGTAATTACAAGATGTCACAGAATTTGATAATCGGACAACATAAATCAGCAACTGATATGATTTGACATTTTGTTAACCCATCCAATTATTTGCTTACAACAGCACACAAATAGCAGTGACTTCTATCTCCATAAAGGGTGTTTTTACCCAGAACATAGAATCCCTAAATACTAGTCTATAAAACCAAAATATCATAACTTATAGAAACAATATGACATGTCGGAATTTATTTTTATTTTATTAATATTAGACCTAAAAAATATAACAACTAAATACAGTTAGTAACTAAGAACAGGGTTTTATTTACTGGGATAAAGCAGTACCACACTAGAGTTTTATGACAGTTTAAACATTTCCATAAGGCAGTAACCCTAGACTAGTACTTTTAGGAAAATGACTCTAACCAAATCGGTATCACAGCTTGAACGACGAGTGGGTCTAGAGCCATGTTTGAGCTGCTCAGGTCCAGCACTCACTGACTGCCTGTGTGCTGGACACTGTGCTGGAAAACACAAGGTAAGGGGAAAATAAAAGCTTACAAAACATTAGATTAAGGTGCCACTTCTGTAAACAACGTCCGTCCTCGTGTGTGTTTTAAAAGTGTGAACTGAAAACAAAAAAGTGTGGCTATCTTAGGAAATGGAATTATATATGAATCTGAATTTTTATTTTTACTTTCTGTTTTCCTATAGTTTTGAAAAGTCACAATGAACGGACTACCTTTAAAATATAAAGGCTATTTTATTTTTAATCATGCACTGTGTGCTATGTTCTTGACACATTTATTATTTACATAGTGAGTTTAAGAAAAAGAGTATTTATATTTGGTTCTTAAATAAAGTATTGAGGCTTCTTGGGCTCCATTTTAAGTATTAACTAGACATATTATCCTAAGCAACAATTATGTAATAGAGTAGGAGAAAATGCAGGTAAGTCTTAACATTATTCAACTTTGGAGAAGCCACTGTTTCTCCAAGATAAATTTCAAAACAGGATAAATGAAAAACGAGGAGAAAGCTTGAGTAGTCATTTCAACTGATCGTTTGTAACTGCCCACAAGGCAACTCGCAAAGAACCAACAAGTCCTGCTGTTGGGTCCTGAATTCAACACTCATGCCCGTATCTCCTAGCATTCTAAAAGGCACTTGTTATGAAACGCTCAGAGTATGAGCATAGTATACTCACTTAAAATCTCTGAGCCTTTTTTTCTACTTAGAATTTAAGAGACAATAAAATAAGATTTGGATAAAAATAATGTAAAGAAGCAGGTTATAACCTAATCTAAAATTGAAAGCACTTAGAGAGCTGTAAAATTATATCTTGCAGTGCTTAGGCATTCAAAAATCCAATCTTCTTTCCTCTAGGACTCAAAATTCTTTATTTTATGTCACTAGTTATTTTTCATCTAAATGAAAGTCCTCACTTCTATAATTTGTAAAATAATGAAGTTCAGATAAATGATCTCCAGGGTCTCTTCTAGTCTTAAAATTTTATTATTATCTGAAAGGCCATATTAATCATTATTTTTCCTTAATTCTCATAGAAATTAATAACCGACAAATTGGTATTTTTAGTTTTAATTTCAAGGGACCAGAATTATTTTTCATTAAAATAGATTCTAACAAATATATATTCATACTTATATACTTCAATAATAACCATTACATAGAAATATGCAAGAATATTTTCCCTAATAAAATTTTGAATCTTTCAGAATATAAACAAATCAAAATTGATATTAAATACTTCTAAGAAATTTCATAAACAACCAACCTGATGACCTGGTTACAGTGGGCACACATTGGAGTTCGTTTTCCTGCTGGAATGTGCTCAGCTCGTTGCACTAAAGTGTCCTGGTCACTTGGCTGGGGCTGCCCCACAGAGGAGGCGGCTGGTCCCACTGCTCCTGAGGAAGCTGCACTATTTGAGATTCTTCCAGTGTAAGGTGCTAGGAATTAAAACACAGGAGATTCAGAATGAGAATAAGCCAAATATAAACTTTTTCTAATAAATAATAATATTACTTTTAAAAATAATCTATTCACTCACATTTAAGGAGAGGTTATGTGAACACTAGACTGTGACTACAGAGATAAATAGAAAAGAAATCAAGGATTACAATACAGTGAAAGAGATATGACAGATGCATGCATAGCATACTGTAGGAGAAGGAGAGTTGTTTTTACTTCCAAGAGGAGATACGGTTAAGGTGAATATTGATGGTGAGGTATTACTAGTCATCTAGACAGCTCTACTAACCAATAATTAGATTTAACTCCAATATACCACAGGCACATTTAAAAAATCTCAGGGTGCTGAAGATACCAAAAACACAAATGAACTTACTATATTTTCTTTCTTCTTGTATTCTCTAGGAAGACTGTGCAATCAGTCACTCAGTCATATAAAGTAACTATGAAAGACTCTTCCTAGCGCCTCCCTTTTCTTTATCTCTGCTGATTTTATAACACAATAGTTCTGAGTTTTGCACTCTCGTTCCATTCCTACAATACTGTCCTGGTTTAGGACTTCGATGTCTCCCCCCTAGGCTAGCCATCAAAATGTCTTGTCTTCCACAAATTCATCCTCTCAAGTGCCACCGAAGAGTGAAATCTGGCCTGAACTCAACCCCGTGTAGACCATTTCTAGGATCTCCTTGTTCTTTGACCACTGGATGTAGTCTATACTTCGAAGCACTGCTGACAGGTCCTGCCAGTGGTCTCTGCCTGCCCCACAGTCTCATTGTTTACCCGTCTCTGCCTTTCACCTTATGCTACAGCAATACTAACTGCCTCACTTTTTCTTGTGAATGGGTCTTCAATGTCATTTCTCTATCTTTCTTCCTATTTACCTCATAACCATTACTTATTGTTTAAGATTCAGTCCAAAAGTCAACTGCTCCAAAAGTCCTCCCTGAATGACCTCTCCCCAGTGCCCCCACCACATAATCCTTATTAAATGTTTCTCTTCCATGTTCCTATAATTTTCTGGGAATGTTTATTATTGCTTCTACTATACATATCTGTGTCTTCTCTAACTAGATAACAAGCTCCCTGAGGGCAGGAACTATGTCTTATTCATTACTTCTGCAACTAATACAATGTCTGGAATGAGTAAATTGAATAAATGAATAAACTGGAATCAATACAGAAATGAATGAATGCGGAAATCATGAGGGACTGAAACCAACAGAAGGCCAGCTCCTTACCCACAGGCAATTAAAATGTAATGGAAGAGAAAAACGCACACATCAAAAAGGTTTAAAAGAAAAAACTTTTAAGAAAAGAACACACATACTACAATTAACGAGGAGTGTGTATGTATGTACATATGTATGTGTGTGTGTGTATTGACAGGATACATATTAAAGGTGTGGTCGGAAATGGATCCGATTCATTAGGATAACTGAAAGGATAATTCTTCCTTGCCACAATAAAGCACATTTGCAATGATCTGCAAGTACAGATCCAGAAACCAAGCATTTATAAACACTTAGCACATTTCCTATGGTGCTCTGCCTGGCACTCAAGCTGTGAAATGGCACTTTACAGGCCAGGGGGCTCTACTACTGCCCATGTTTCAAATGAACGAACTGGACTAGGAACACGTTTTCATTCTCTTAAACTCGTACTTTCTTTTATAGAAATGCAAAGGAAAATCCCTGTAATATTCACTTTGCACACGCCCTTCCTTGTTACCTCACTCACTCACACAGCACAACTCTCTCTTCTGTGGGTCTTCAATTTCTATGTCCAGGCCTGATTCTTCTAGGACCACCAGATACGCACTTTCCAAGCCAAATCTTGTTTTTGTCTTTAAGTGCAAGACATGCAAAATATACTTCGCCTTCTTGTACACATTACCAGCTCTTTCTAAGAACTCCTCTATGGTTGAATTCTCTCACTTAATCCAGGCATGGCCCTCTGCCTCCTACGTCCCTGACACTCAGTGCCCAGACACTGAAAACAGTTTCATTTTAAGTGTTTCTAAGGTCTGTCCCCTCTCTCTAATCTGAACCCGTCTCCTGCCACCTGGTCTGGACCATTACAAGTCTCCTAAGCAGCCTCCGGGCTGCCAGTTTCTTCTTCAACCTCTTCTGCGAAATTCCTTTTTCAAATACACTACTCTGATCATATTTTCTTTTTTATAAAGCATCCTGTAAGTCCCCACTGCAAAATATATGCAATCTTGACAGTCCAGTACCCCCAATGAGCTCGCTCCAATCTTCTTTAAAACCTTGTCTTTTATGCTCACCCACATCACTGCCATCATCATCATACTCGATTATACTCAATATTTAAGTTGTGCAGCAGTATTCTCAAATCCTGTAATAGCCCTATGATTTAGGCATGATCGCTACGACTTTTTTACTCTATCTGAAGCAAAGAGAGGTTTAAAAACCTGCCCAAGGTCAAACACCAAATAAAGGGCAGTCCTGAATGCAGGTAGTCTGGCTCAAGTCTGTGCTCTTAACACTATGTGATATATCTATTCATTGTCTCTTGAACATGCCATGTTACCCGCTGCTTCTATGACCCTCAGCCCATGAAATGTCTCTTTCTCCTCTGCTGCTCAGTTTTCCCATTCTGCAAGACTCATGAAAGTGCCATCTTCGTCTGCAGTGTGCCCTGACTATCCCAGCTAAAAGTGTTCTCATGCTCCTCTTAACATCTATAACACCCTACTCATATAATTTATTTGCTATTCATCAGTATCCTGCAGTATGTTTTCCTTTCTGAGTAAATGATAAACTCTCCCCAACCACCAGAAAACTGTCTTACAAACAGAAGGCAAAAAATTAATATTTAGTCAAGTAAATGAAAAAGGGAAGTCTCCGATCACTTTCATTTTGCCTTTTTAAAGGACACTATAAAGACAGAGATTCTTAAAATGTGGATTAGGTTCAGGATTTCAAACAGTGGGAAAATTACCAATTGAAAAATCTAAAAATCAGACCTCAAAGAGAGTCAACCCCTTTCATCTACCATATGCCTTTATTTTATCACATTATCTATGCATAAGCCCTAAAGTACTGAGTCACTAAGACATTTTTAGCAATAAAAGAGTGTAGTAATTCTGCATCAGTCATTGTAAAACGGAACATAATCCATCTGGCCCATGCCTCAAGCAGAAGGTACATGGGGAACTAACATATTTAACATGAGAAACCATTCTTAAACGTGAAACATCTGACAGTCTTAAACACACATAAAAAGGCACTAAGCTCACCGCTGTTTCTTTCTTGGGAAGAAAAGACTTGCTTTCTGTTACTGCCCCATCTTAACTACTTTGGATAAGATCGAAGTTCTCACACCTCCGTTTTGTTACTGTGTTGCTAGCACACTGGCCAGCACACAAGGCTACACAAGCCTGTTAATTACCAAGCCCTGAACATTTCCAAGGCCCAGTTAGTTACTTCCATATGAATAAAATGACGTTTCATTTCTTCAGAATGAATTTCTCACTACTCTAGCAAAGGTACAGGCAACTTTTGAGCCAACTGCCAACCTTCTGGCCTCTGCTCACTTGGATTCTTGGGGAAGGAAGCACCACAAAATGAGTCCTGCTTTTTTTTAGAATTCTGTAGAGAACTGTACGACCATATAGAGAAAATGTCTTCCATGGGTAGTGGTGACTAAAAATACTTCAAATTTATTGAACCCATCCTTCAAATCATCTACTTTCAGGCAGAAAAAATATGCAACTCTTTAGAGATAGCAGCTTAAAAGATGATAATAATCTATTTATTTGTAATAAAAAGTTTTTTTTCTCCCTCTCAAGTCCTACTAGAACTATTAAATAAGAACACTGAATTAGCCCATTTCATAAGCAAGGAATCTAAGTGACAAAAAATTTAAGTTAACTTAAACTAAATAATGGGTGAGTCAGTGAAGTGTCACAATAGGAACATGAGAAAATTAGTCTTTGACTCATTTTCTTTTTTAACCTTAATCTCGAGCAAATCCATTAAATATGGCTTCTTTTGTGGCTAATCTCTACTCTACTTGGATCATGTTTTAAAATTATTTTTTTTCTTTTGTATCAAATACATTTCAGCACCACAAAACTCATAGAAATTTAGAGCCACTAACTACTTTCCAAACCTTTGGTGAGAATATATTTTATTAACTTTAGAATAATTAATTATGAGGTCTTCTAAGATTCTGAAATGACATACATTCATATTTACTCAATGTTTTTGTTTTCCAGCACTATAACAGTCAAACCTAAGATTACACAGATTATCACTTACTAAGTAAACATAAATTTATGGGAAAACCTAGCAGCATAATAGAATACTTTCTCAGTACATAATATGTAAAGTTATCAAATTAATCAAGTAAAATATACCCACGATATGCTGCGTTGCTAGTTTTTAAAAGATTTTAAGATTTAAAAACTAGCAACGCAGTTTTTAAAAACCAGTCATAGTGCTATATTTGAGGATTATAAGGTATGATACATATTTTAAAAAGCAAACAGACCTCTGACTTACTAAACACGAAATTTAATTTACTATAAAGAAATAAAAAATAATCTCTTTGAACAACAGATTAACTGGTGATAAAGAATTTTACAAAATTGAACCACATAATATTTGTTAATTTAGTAGGATACCTACTTCCTGTTATTAGATAAATCTTTGTGATATGTTATTTGGAAAGACAAAGTGAAATTACTTTAGAAAGATCTTAATTGCATTCCTCCCCCAAGCAGATGATTCAGGTTTATATTATTTAGCAAATTAGTTAACACATGTTTTAAGTAATCTTATCCTGAGATTTATTTCTTTTCTAATCATTGTAAGGGCCCAATCAAGTGATTATCAAGCTTATCCAAGTAACTTCTACACTATGGACTACAAAAGTATATTATTGGAGGTCTGCTTATATAATATGTAATATATGTTATAAAATATTATGTAATATGTAATTATGAATTATCTAA